GTTCTGCGCTATCTCAAAGGCACTTTGAATCATGGTCTTCTTTTTCGCAAGGGGGGATTCGACCTATCTGTCTACTCTGACTCTGACTGGGCCCATGATAAAGATGATCGCAAGTCTACCACGGGCTACATACTCCTACTCGGTCCTAATATCATCTCTTGGTGCACGAAAAAGCAGACTCGTGTTTCTAGATCATCCACTGAAGCTGAATATCGAGCTATGGCTGCAGGGGTTGCAGAAGCTATGTGGCTTTGATATATCACTGATGCACTAGGTATTCCTCCGTCCAAACCGAAGTTATACTGTGACAATGAGTCGACTATCTGTGTCACCAAAAATCCGGTTCTTCATGATCGCATGAAGCATGTGGGCACAGACTGTCACTTTGTACGAGATGAGGTTATGGCAGGCACTATGACTCCACATCATGTTTCCTCCTCAGAGCAGCTAGCAGACATTCTTACCAAACCGCTTCCGCCAGTTCCTTTTGAGTACTTATGTTCCAAGCTGCCCCTCGTCTCTGTTGATCAGCTTGCGGGGGGATATTAGGAAGTATAATTAAATTAGGATACTTCTTTCCTTTCCTACTAGGATTATTCTTTCCTTTTCTACTTGTACTTTGATTACTCTTGTATTCCCTATATATAGAGCCATATCTCTCAATATTCAATAAGACAAGTTATTATCAAATTGTATCATATTATAACATCTCATATCATGTAGAATCAAACAAAAAGTAATTAAACAATCTACATTTCAAACACAATCTATATCACAATTTCACATTTCAACTTAAACATAAACACAAAAGCAATTCAAATATATAGTAAATTAAATATTAACCTAATGCAAAAATATATAAAAAATAATAGTATAATTAAATATTTAAAGTTTAAAAAATAAAAAAAATACCTTAGAGAAGGCGACGAAGGCACAGCGAGGGCTAGGGCGACGGCGGGAGAGGGCGACAGCGAGGAGAGGGCGACGGAAACGGGAGGAGACGGCGGGAGAGAGCTCCGGTAGCGGTTGGCAACGGGGAGGACAGGGCGACGGTGGCAGTGGAGGACGACAGCGAAGTGGAGGACGACGGCGAAGTGGGGGACGACGAGGAGTGGGAACAGCGGCGACGGCGTAATGGAGGACGGTGACGAATGAAAATGACACGGCGACGGCGACAGAGACGGCGACGGAGCACAGAGTTTCGACGACGAAGGAGGGTTTTGTTTTCAAAATCAGGTAAGGATAATGAATGGGAGGCTATGGAGCACGTTTAAACAAGGTCTTTTGCATCGGTTAAACGTAATAACCGATGCAAATGTTATTTGAATCGGTTATTACGTTTAACCGATGCAAATGCTTAACATCATTTGAATCGGTTAAACGAAATAACCGATGCAAATAACTATTTGAATCGGTTATTACGTTTAACCGATTCAAATGCTTTCCGATACGCGAATGTTTTTTCATTTAAATCGTTTGTTTCACGGACCGATGCAAATGTGGTGATTATTTGGTCGTTTTTGTAGTAGTGCTAACTCTGAATTTTTTTTTGGGACGAAGGGAGTATATAACTTTAATATACAAATTACATTTTTTAAAACAACATATAAAATTTTATATAACAAGATATGATAAGAATATTTTATTTTATGAAATACTAAACAAAAACACACAAATAAACAAAAGTTAGAAAGACACTAGAATAGTAATATAGACAATTATTTTTGGACAAAAGTAGTAACTATGTTAGTTTTTTATTGCTTTTAATTTATTATGGGCAAATTGAAAAGAAATAACGTAATAGAAATCAACCTAAATAGGACTAAAACATATAGAAAAGTACCAAAAATAGAACTTTCATGTTTTTTTTCCAAAATAGGACTTTGCACTGTGATAAGGTGGCACTGTACATATGCACATTACTATGCTTTTTTGGTAATGTACATGACCCTGTTTGGGAATATAAGTCATATTTCGGGAATAAAAACATGGAAGTCCTATTTTGATATATATCAAATGTTTTAGTCATATTTTAGTCTTTCTCCCATAACGTAAGCCGTCCATCTCTTTCCCTTGAAAGAAAATATACGAGTATTAGTATATAGTAATATAGTATCACAAAATATTTCTTTCATCCTAAGAATGATTTACACTTTTACTATTTGAGCATTTTGGTTGCATTCGTCATTTGATAAAATATTATTTTATATACTTTTTATGTAATTTGTACTTTTTTCAAAAATATTTAAGTTGATCAAAACAAATTTGAGGGGGGGGGGGGGGGGGGCTGCCCCACAAATGGCCCATAAAAACTAATAGACAAAAAAGACAAGGACCAAAATTCAACAAGCAAAACTTGATTATCCAGTATTTGTGCCATCACTGAGACAAACATATATAATTTGTACTTTTTTATACTTTTTTATTTTATACTTATTTATACATAAATCAATTTTAAGAAACGAGGTTTTGCTTAGTTACGTTGTTCGAAGAGTTTAAAAGAATTTGTGACGAAGGGGTTATCCAGGAAGCTTAGTTTCCAAACAAAATTAAACGAATTTGGGATGGGGTATGGACAACAGGATTGGACAATAAGACACTTGGGCTAAACCACATTAAAAGATTGAATCCAATCGATTAGTTAGTTCAATTCAAGAGCTTATATACCGATTAATTTCCTCACACTTTTCCGATGTGGGATATTCTTTAACACTCCTCCTCCTCAAGTGGACAACCGGGCCATTTTGAATCTAACCGATTGACCACTTGCAAATGAACTCCCATTCCCTTGACTTTTTTTTGAGCGCCAACACCTAAAGGATCACGAGCCGCTGGGTATGGACTTCCAGACGAGCAATCGTGTTAAACGGGCCACAGACCGTTGAGTACATACTTCATACGGACCAAAACCTGCTCTAATACCATGATAGAATTTGGGATGGGGTATGGACAACTGGATTGGGTAATAAGACATTTGGGCTGAACCACATTAAAAGATTGAATCCAATCGATTAGTTAGTTCAATTCAAGAGCTTATATACCGATTAATTTCCTCACACTTTTTCGATGTGGGATACTCTTTAACAATTTCTACGTTTTCATTAGTTATTTGATAAAATAAAATATTCTTGACACCTCTTATTTCGAAGATCTTTTCATGTAGTTTTTTGATATGTAATTTTTATTTTTTTACTAATATGTAAATAAAATGAATTGAAAAAACTTAATATTTTACCTCGGTAATAGAAATGTGACAAATAATTTGGGACGGAGGGAGTATAAAATATTTTTGTTACTCTTGTTTTGTTGAACTTTTAATATGCTTTTAAAATATGAAAGTTTTCATGTTTTATTTATATATCAATCTTTATACCCATTCTAAAATGATATAAGAAATTTCTAATTTTACAAAGTGTAATTAATTAAGGAACTGAGAAAGTACATTTTTCAAGGGACTAGTTTGTACGCTATTTTTCTTTCAATTATAATGAAATCATTGGCCAATCCATTTATTTGAAATAATACTGACCCAGTGTACTTCACTAGCTACTTCATAGAGGGAAGAATGAAGTGTACTAAGTTGACTTGACAGCCCATGTGCTTATTTTTATTGTTTTTTCAACTTCTTTTGCCATCAAGCATGAGAGGGCTTTTTTATGACTTAGTTGTTACTGGATGGGTAGGGTATCTAGATTTCTAGATTAGGATATGGCAATTTTTGAATGTAGGTTTAAATCCATAAACTCAACTTTAATTTTTTTTATGTAGGTTTAAAAGCATAAACTCAACTTTAACCATTAAGAATCTATTGTTTAGGACTCGAAAAAAAATTGGGTGTAAGAAGAAATTGGAAGAAATTAGAAAAAATTGGAAGAAACTAAAAAAACTGGAAGGAACTAGAAGAACTAAAAAGAACTAGAAGAAACTGGAAGGAACTGAAAGACACTGGAAGGAACTGAAAGAAACACTGGAAAAAATTAAAAGAATCTGAAAAAACTAGAACAAATTGGAAAATCTAAAAAAGATTGATTTTTTTGTGTATTTTTAAATTATTCTCATTCTAATTCTTGTTGTTACAAATTATTATTGTTGTTGTTGGTGGTGGTTGTGGTGGTGTCATAACGTTATCTTAATGAATGCATTTAACATAAAAAAAATATTGTTATTTTCATACACACAAAAAATTACTTTTGAAAAAAAATTAATTAGAATATAAAATTAGCATAAATATCAAAATGTTCAATATTTAAAAGTTATTATGACTATACAGTATTTATCAAAAAATAATATATTTGTAATTATATTTTATATATAATAAAATTTTATTTTAAAAATCAGACATGTCACATAATGTGATCAAAGGTGATGTTGTTTAAAATATCACACATTTCGCCGAGGCAACAAACGACGGAAGATATGTCTAAGGTCATGTTACGTTGTTTGATGAACAAACTAAAGATGCAATGAAACAGTTTAGAGATGAAATAACAGTTAATATTCTATAATACAATTAAGCTTAATTTAAGAAACCAAACATGGAGTATAGTTTTACAATATGATTATGTTGAAAATGATTGGATTATTTATATTTATATGCGCAATATTTTATATATTAGAGACAATAAAAAGTAGATCAAATAAATGAAAGTATAACTTTTTTGTTAGCTTTATTTTAATTATTGGTGATATTATTTGTTATCTGAATTTGTTTTTTACACTTTTTGGGTCGTTTTTCTTTTTCAAAATGTAGTTCTCTCTTGGTTTTCATAATGTAGTACTCCCCCCATTCTATTTTTATATTTTAGACTAAAATGTTGATGTTTTCCTTATATAAATTTAGATTAAAAAACATTATATGTAATTATCTTATCCACAATTTTTTAAATAGTTTAAAATGTTGATGTTTTCCTATTTTATCATGTAGATTGATATATAAAAAAAGGTATAATTCATATTAAAAAGTTGAAGAAAAAATAATAATGAGGTGAATCATAAAAATAGTGAGATGAAAAAAATTCAAATAATTTATAAACTATAGTTATGAACATAATAGTTGTAATAATAATAATATATTGTTTTTAGAGTGATTTGTCAGAAAGTTGAAACAGTTTGAAGGAAATAAAAATATTTGGAAGAAACTAGAAAAAATTGGAAGAATCGGAAAAATTGTAAGAAACTGGAAGAGATTGGAAGAAACTAGAAGGAACATGAAAGAGCTGGAATGAACTAGAAGAAACTAGAAGTTAAGAGTTCAATCTCTAAAGAACATGCTATAAGTCCATACTTTTAGAGTTTGAAAAATTAGCTTCCAACATTTTTAAACTTTTCCAATTTCGTCTTAGTGCTTCTAATTTGTTCCAACTAATTCAAGTTTCTTCCACCAATGACTTAAAAAGATATTAATATAAGATGAACATACAATAATATTATGAGTTCTTATTTCGTTTACCCCTAAAATTTCCTCCGAACTTTAAAAATTATATGAATTCCCTTTGGACTTTAAAAATTGTACCAATGTCACTTAAACTTTTAAAAATGTTACACCAATTGTCGCTCTATGATAGATTTAGGAGTACGTTATTCACATGCTCATTAATGTACCTATTGGATCTTGATAAAGATGTCATCGATTGATGAAGAGGTTGACCAATTGATGGAAAAACTTTATCGATTGATGTTCTACCTTCGAATTCCCTGATGCAGTTAGCAGTCCGTGTCCAAATATCTGTAGCCTCTCCGCCCGATTCCCACGATTCTGATATCTTGGCTCGGTAATCCAGGCGGATGGGGAGTTAGACGGGGATGTTGTACATCGTGTTGGAGTGGCTTGGGCCAAATGGCGGTTGGCCTCAGGGGTGTTATGTGACCCAAAGATTTCGCCCAGAATGAAAGGTAAGTTCTACCGATCCGTAGTCAGACCTTCTATGTTATACGGGGCAGAGTGTTGGGCGGTTAAGAAGACTCATATGCGTCGTCTGCATGCGGCGGAGATGCGGATGTCACGATGGATGTGTGGGAAGACAAGGTTGGATAGGATTTCGAACGAAGTTATCCGACGTCAGGTAGGCATGACGCCGGTGGAAGATAAGTTACAGGAAGCGAGGTTGAGATGGTTTGGGCATGTGAGACGGCGGGATGCTGATGCCCCTGTACAGAGGTGCGAGAGGATCACGGTTATCGGGAGAAGTAGGGGAAGGGGTAGACCTAGGAAGAATTGGAAGGAGGTGATTAGGCAGGATTTAGGACTTCTCACCCTGACTGAGGATATGGCTTTAGACAGAAACCTTTGGAGGACTAGGATTAAAGTAGCTGGTTAGAAGCTAGATGCTGCAGAGGTTTTTTGGTAGTGTGTTGTGTTTGATTGGAATCTTCTATTTTTGCTTGCTGGACTTTCATTTCATTGTACTTGGTGCTTTATCCTGTTATATCATGTTATATCCTGCTATCACGTTATATTGTGTTCCCTACAATATTTTTTGTGCAGGTTGAGCCGGGGGTCTCTTGGAAACAGCCTCCCTACTTCCGAGTAGGGGCAAGGTATGCGTACACACACCCTCCCCAGACCCTACTGTAGTGGAATTCAACTGGCTTGTTGTTGTTGTTCATAAAAATTAACCCAGGATATTATTTAGGACTGAAAGAATATGAAACTTCTACGAAAATTAAAAATACGGACTAATTCGTAAGTTTCTGATAAAAAGAACACAATAGTACGTGGACAAATTAAAATGAAAATGGGACGCATGTAGGGGTATAATTTGACCCCAATGACCTTCAGAACATAACACGCATGAGTACCATGAAATAAACCGGGGCCCACATTCTTCTTCCGGCCACCAATAAGACTACTATACGAGTCATCTAGGAAGCCCCATCTCATATCCTTATTTAAATTCTTTGAGTCTCTAATTCAATATTTTAGTCCTAATATCTCTATTAATATATTAAAAATAAGGAAAAAAGACTAAAATAGAAATAGAATATTCAAAACATACAAAAATAAGAGTTTATGTTTTTATTACCAAAATTGAAATAAAAGTTAAAATACATTTACAGTGTCACATTACCAAAAAATATTGTAAACTGTTCATATACCGTGCACGTTACTACAATGGAACTGCCATTTTAGCGATAAAAATATGGATTTTTTATTCTGATACTTTCTCTATGCTTACTCCTAATTAGGGTAATTTCTTTTAAAATAGATTATAAAAATATGATATTTCAAAACTAAATTTAAAGAGGTTCTATTGATGTTGAATTTATATATAAAAAATCAATTTATTTTTTCATTATTTTTAGCCAAAGTTTTAAAATACTGACCTGAAAAATCAAAATGGAAAGAAGTATATAGGGCAAAGGGACTAATACGCCGGAGCTTGTTCTCTTCAATTTATCTTTATATTGCTTATGAGAATTCCTTATGTTTGTTAGAGTAAAATTAGACCAAATTAGATCGGGAATGGTTTTTAATATAACTACAACCAGGCTAAACAAGAAAAGATGTATAGAGATTCTTCTTTTTAATTTGTTCTTATTATTTTCTCTCCATATAAAAGTTATCGTTACACTATGAATAATATGCAAAATCCTATATTTTTAAAACTATATATTTTGTTAACAAATTAGTATAGAAATAAAATGTAAAAATTACATAATCTTAAACTCATCAAAAGTTATACTCCCTCAGTTTCGGATTATTTGTCCACTTTTGATTTTTTGGTCAAAATTGGTAAACTTTGACCTCAAATTAAATAAAAATGATATTAGATATTAATTCCAAAATAGTTTTATTAGATTTGTTATATCAAATATTTTCAAATTATTATTTTATCTAATTAATATACAATATATACTTTATTTAATTGTAGGTCAAAGGTTGAAAACGATTGAACGAAAAAAATTAAAACTGGACAAATACTCTGGGACGGAGTTAGTACTAAACAATAGGTGATAATAATATTTTATTATATATCAAAATGTCAATGAAAATGTCCAAACAAACAAAAAGTGCTAAAGGATCAGGATGGTAACATTGACAATAATTCAGAGACAGAGAGAGCATTATTTAAAAAAGTCACCCTAAATAGGTTTAGCATAGAGAGAAAGTATCAAAATAGAAATTTCATTTTTTTTCTCTGAATAGGAGTTCGTATTGTGATAATGTGACACTGTACATGACATTTTACTATACTTTTTGGTAATATACATGATTATAATTGGTAATGTAAATGTATTTTAACTTTTATTTCAGGAATAAAAACATCTAACTCCTATTTTGATATATTTTCAATATTTTACTCCTACTTTAGCCTTTTTCTCATATATTTTTATCGGAATCATATCAGACCAGATCAAATCGTATCATTTAAGAAACTACTTAAAATATAACTTGAATAAGATTTATGACAAACGGTTTCTCCCTTCTTAAAAAAACTCATCACAAATAAGCATGTTTCATATATAATCCGTATTAAAATAGCATTTTCAATATCCATATCCATACTTTATTTAAAAAGACATGTAGTCAATATATGGTTTTCCCGCCCAAAGAAGATGACAATTAGAAATGGCAATTGTGAACTTAAAATGGTAACTGGCCGAAAATATAATAATAATTATTATAATTATTATATTTATAATAATTAGAGAAAGGTAAGTTAAAATGGCAGAAAGGTAAGTTAATTATTGTAAATTTAAAATTAATATTACTTTTTTAAAACATGATATTATTAATCTAAAAAATAATTATTATTATTAAACTAAAAAATGGTTTAAAAGCTATAATAAATACACTTCCTTTTTTAGAACACGGTAATCATTTTAAAAAAGGAAATTATTAAAAAAATCATTTTAATAATTAAAAATCCATTTGAAAATCTTAATTATCTTTTATGAAGCTGCTTATATGGAGTGTGACTTAGTTATAAATATAATTATTATATTTATAGTAATTAACGTATTAAAAATTAAAATCTAACATACATTATTAACGTATGTTTTAAATAAAGGTAATAGCCTATTGCCTATTATACAATTCCAAATCGTAAGTTTTAAATAAAGGTAAGTTATACAATTGCAAACCCTAAGATTTTGAATAAAATAATTATTCTTACCATAATTATTTTTTAAACGAAATTCAGTGTATAATTGTATAACTTACATTTATTAATTATTTCCAATTTTCAACGAAATCCAGTATATAAACGAAATATAACTTACCTTTTTTAATTCAATGTATAATTGTATACCGTACCTTTTTTAACCAATTTCCTTTTGAAAACGAACAGTTTTAACTCTGATTTTTTAATATTACTTTTTAAAAACATGATATTATTAATCTAAAAAATAATTATTATTATTATTAATCTAAAAAATGGTTTAAAAACTATAATAAATACACTTCCTTTTTATCACACGGTAATAACCAGTTTTAACAAGTAATCATTTTAAAAAAGGAACAAATAATATGACACCATTTATAATTGGTAATTAATTATTAATCTAAAAGATAATTATTATTATCAATCTAAAAAAATGTTTTAAAAGATATAATAAACGAATAGTTTTATCACACGGTATTAACCAATTTCCTTTTTAAAAAATATATAAAAAGGAATTTGGTGATTCTGTTTATATGGAGTGTGACTTAATTATAAATATAATTATTATATTTATAGTAATTAACGTATTAAAAATTAAAATCAAACATACATTATTAATGTAAGTTTGTAAATTTTGTAAACTGTTTGTTTGTAACTCTAGCATTATTCGGTCTATAAATGAACTATAATTATTATATTTGGAAAGATTAAAATGGACTATAATGAAGAACAAGTTAATAATTAACCAAGGTATTAATTATATAAATGTGTCATTTTTATTAACGGTGTCATTTTTATTATAAATCAACCAAAGTACATAAGAAATGGTACGTGTAAATAATGGAATTGTTAAGTATTTAAAGATGGTAAGAAATTAAAGTATCCTAAATTATAGTAATATAAAATGGACTATAACTACTGTAAGAATTATATATCCTTTAAATTTATATATTTGCATTTAATGGCAAAGAATGGTAATAACCAAGAAAGGTAATAATTAACTGTCATTTTTAAAGTGTCCGAAATTATACTAGCAAGAAAGGTATGTTATAAAGAATATTTATAAAATAGGAAAATTTTATTTGTAAAAATATTTATAAAATTTAATACACGCCAATCAATGCTATTAATACCGTAAATTTGGAAAAATATAAATAGAGTGGAAAAAAATTCCGTTTAAAATTTAATATACGCCAATCAATGATATTAATACTGTAAATTTGGAAAGAAAAAATGAATAACTAATCAAGGCTATTAATACGGTAATACCCTTTAAATATATATATTTATGTTTAATAGCAAGAAAGGTAATAACCAAAAAATGAAATAATTAACTGCCATTTTTAACACGTGCACGAATTATTACTCCGTGCAAGAAAAGGAATATCCAAAAAATGTTTAAAAGCGTTATTATCTATACTTGATTTAAAAAGAGGAGAATGTTGTCTCAATGTTTTCCCGCCCATATGTGAGACTCATATATGGAAAGTGTTGACAACGCAAATGATAGTTTAATTATTTTGCCTCAATTGTTCCTTCCATTTGGAGTATGTTTTCTTTTTTATTTAAGTTTCATGTCAATTAAGTATTTAAATTAAATTAAATAGTAGTGAACCACTAGGGAATTATAGTATGGAAATAAAATAGAGTACCATTTAAATATGAAAATGAAATAAAAACTACAAATTAGTAAAGTATGGGCGGGATTAGAATGATTTATTTCAAAAAATATTATAATTTACAGGCATGGCCGTGTAAAAATGGTAAGTTTTCTAAAATATATTAGAAAATAAACATGATACGTAAATGATAAAATTTAAATACGAAAATAAAATAAAAAAGTACAAATTAATATTAATACTGTAATTTACAAGCATGGAAACATTTTAAAAATGGTAAGTGTTCTAATTAGAAAATTAGAAAATAATATGGTATGGTAGGGTAAGCAAATGGCACCATTTAAACATGAATATAAAATAAATGGTAAGTGTTCTAAAATAAATTAGATAAGTGTGATAAAATAAAATAGAAAATAAAATAAATCTAAAAATGGTAAGTGTTCCAAAATAAATTAGAAAATAAATGTGGTTCGGTAAGCAATTAGTACCATTCAAAAACGAAATTAAAATAAAAAAATACAAATTAATATTAATACTCTAATTTACAAACAGGAAAACTTTTAAAAAATGGTAAGTGTTCTAATTAGAAAATTAGAAAATAAATATGGTACGGTACGGTAAGCAAATGGTACCATTTAAACGTGAAAATAAAATAAATGGTAAGTATTCTAAAATAATTTAGGTAAGTGTTCTAAATAAATTAGAAAATAAAATAAATCTCAAAATGGTAAGTATTCTAAAATATATTAGAAAATAATTATGGTACGGTAAGTAAATGGTACCATTTAAATACAAAAATAAAATAGAAAAACTATAAATTAATATTATTCATTAATATTATAATTTACAAGCATGGAAACGTGTAAAAATGGTAAGTGTTATCAAGTAAATTAAAAAATA